TGAGAATTCGAAACTTAATCAGTTTTTAAAAAATAATTTTTATAAAAAGAATTCAATGTGGTTACTTGTTTGGTTGGCTTGCCTAGCACTGTGATAGGCGCCATCACGACCGGGGTATTTGGGGTCGTGACACATACTATGATATTCATATTATCTGTGGCCAGGGGCGGCTCAGTGTCATCCGAGGCANTATATATATAATAGACAAGCGAGTATGTGAAATGAAAAAATGATAACCTGGTTTTATAAAGTACAAAAAATTAGATGAAATTAACGTTGATTGCATCACAACTGAAGCGAGAGAACCTGGAAAACATACTTCCTCCGTCCTAACTTATGTGACTCCTTTTCTTTTAGTCAGTCCTCTTTTTATATTTGGTAATAATTTAACTGTAGATTTTTCTTTTTACCCTTAATGAGATAATTTTTATCCACACAAGTTTCTATGATTTATTTAGATCACAAGTTTCAAAAGTCTTTGTGATGATTCGATAGGTCATTTTCAGTTTTAACCTTCATATGTATTTTGCGAAACCTTAAATAGCTCCATTTAGCCTTTCTCGATTTGTGTACGCAGTGTGTGTCCTTTTTCTCGAAAGTTTTTATGAGAAAATTTATAAAAATATAAAATCGTGCCTTAAAATTCATTTGAGTTGACTACGGTCAACGTTTTATATAAATGGACTTGGATCAGTATTTTGACGGTCCCGGCGGATTCGTATCATGATTTGGGACTTGGGCATATGCCCAGAACTGAATTCGAAAGTCCCTAGCTTGATCTAACGTAATTTGTTAAAAATTAGAAGTTTAAAGGTTTAAAGAATTTCTAAATTTGACCGTAGGTTGACTTTGTTGCTACCGGATTCAGATTATGGTTCCGAAACTTGGATAGGTTCATTTAAGTATTATGACTTGTCTGCAAAATTTGGTGCAAAACATAGTTGATTTGACGTGATTCGGACGTTCGGTTGAAAAATTAAAAGTTCTTAAGTTTCTTTGAAAATTTTCATTTGTTTTGGTGTCCGATTTATAGTTGTAGGTGTTATTTCGGTATTTTGATTGCGTAAGCGAGTTCATATGATGTTATTACACTTGTGTGCATGTTTGGTTTGGAGCCTCGAGGGCACGGGTGAGTTTCAGACGCGTTTCAGAGAGTTCATGGAGTTCAGATTTTTGCTGGGTGCTCAGACCTCGCATTTACGAGGTTCATGCTCGCATTTGTGAAGAGCACAGTGGCCTGAAGAGTTTACATTTGCGAACTTCCCATCGCATTTGCGATGATGGCTTGGCCTGAGTATTGGTCGCAATTGCGATTACTGGGTCGCATTTGCGACATGTCCAAGTTTGCATTTGCGAATAATTCATCACAAATGTGATGAAAGCAGAGATGGGAGTGTTTTGCAATTACGATGGTTTTCTCGCATTTACGGGGTTCGAAATTGCAAACCCCAGATATTCTACACTGATCACCTTTGTTTGCTCAATTTGCTTTTCATACGAATAATAGGAGACGTACTTACATTATGCGGCATGGTTTCCGCATTATTTCCTCCCTCTCCTATCTCTTCTTTGTTTTCCTTTTTCTTCCTCTTCCCTCACAGCCTCTACTCATTTCTCGTTTCTACTCCCTTTTCTCTTTTCCACCAACGACCAAAACAACCCCACAGAATAATGCTGGTGGAAAGGATGGGTGGCGAAAGTCGGGTTCTTTTGACATCTTACCTTCACAAAATTTCACATCATGTCAAATAAATGAAAAGCAAAAACAGTCCAAAACAGCCCCTTCAAAAAATAGCTGCACGAACACCTAATTTTTGCCTCCGTTATTTTTTCTAATAAAAGTTTGCAATGTTACTTCATTCTACTTTAAATTTTTGTTACTTTTCTCAATTTATTGTATTTTTTATTGATTCACAAAATACCAAGAAAGAAAAGATTTCCTTTATTTGTTCATTTTGGGATTAATTATTTAATCAGTTAAGTAGATACTTTGTTAGACAATTAGTTAATTTGATGGGTTCAATGCTAAAAATCGTAAAAGTTGAACTCATACAACTCAAATTCTGGATCCGCTGTAGGAACCTCTTATTAAGAGCCAAAGAATTTCGTTTTATGAGTCATATAACCAATACTACTAGTGTGACAGTGTGAGACCCCTTGAAAATGTGACAAGTGAAATAGTTAATTAGTTTTTCCAATATTAAGTGTAGCCACGTTTCTTCATCACATCTAAAATTTTGAGAGCTAATTAAAGCGGGACCCACTATTCCACTGGTCACATTTAAGAGGATCTTATTCAAGTATTGGAATCTTTTGTGGGATCCACTATTCCACTTGTCATTTGATTGGTTTGTGTCTCTTTTCATTTTGTATTGTATTTCTGTTGTGGCGACACAAATCTCATTCTACTTTTAGAGAGTACTGTTTTAAAAAATTTCAGTTTGTTTACCCTTAATGGCACACATGTATGAGGTGACGTGCTCGTTTGGATCTGTTGTTCCGTTGTATTTCGGGATCTCAGGCATACGGAACTTCTTGGGGATTGGCTTCGGAATTGCACTGGGGGGAATGTTTTTGGACAAACTTTTTGGTGGTGCCCCCGCGATTTGGTCGACCCTGAAATTATAAGTTTCCCCTTTCTTATCGTTTTCCTCGATCTTTTTTTCCTCGGTCTCGATTCGCTTCGTTAGTTCCTCGAGCATCTTTACGATAGCAGTATTGGTCTCCGATTCTCCTCCATTCGATCTCTTTGGAACCGATTCGGTTCTATGAACAATTTCTTGCGATGGCTCGAGCTCGATCCTGCTTGGTGCACAATTCTGATTTTGGAGTTGTGTTATTGCAGCTTGTTGAGTCTGCAACATTTCGAATATCATTCGAAGGCTAATACTGCCTTGTTCACCGTCCTGGGCGTACTGATCGGCCGTTCAAGCACCTCCACGGACGCTATTTTCAGGGTCGACGCCCAATTTCCATTAATGGAAATACGGGAGCTAACGCTGATTGGGTCCACGGCACCATCGGGGTTGACTGGAGGTACTTCGTTTCCTGGGGCGGCTATGATGTCATTCTCACCATGGAGACCAAGGCCATTGTCCATATGTGTGGGTGCTACTTGAGAGTTTGAAATGTTGGTCATGGAATCAAAGACACTTCAAAGAACATGCATAAAATAGTGTGTGTTACGAAAATTATACCAGCCAATCACTATTATCCTTAGCACCACGGTGGGCGACAAACTGTTTACCCTTAAAATCGGATAACAATTAAACTTATAAGTGGTTTTAAGAATATGTGATTTCGCTTGATACGAACTGATAAATATAAGATTTAATGCTAGGAATTAACAGTAAAATAAAGCAAACCAATGTGATGAACAAATGTGATCCTTGAGCTAGACTGCCCTCGAACCAACTGAATATGCTATTGAAAAGTATGAACTTGAACAACATAGCTTGCAAGAGAAAATATAATATATTACCGTGTTATGCGTGAATGTATGATGATTACAAAATGATTAAGATCCTCTTTATATAGTGGAGGAATCCTATTTATGGTATAATTCTAATTACAGAAGTAAATCATAGGATAGGATAAATATACGACCCTGACTCGATACGTGCCGAGATTTCCTCCACGATCCTCGCCCGATCACAGATATCTCGGCTTTCTATTATTCGACATACCAGGCCCCCTTCGATCTTGCTCGATCTCTTTCTCGCTTCGGTCTCGATCACGACTGGTCTCGATCTTGATCGGCCATTGATCCACGAGCTTATCAATCCATCTTCGTACCATGTTCTGATATAACTGGGGCCGGGCGTTGATCTTTCGTCCAGATTTCGGTTAGTCGTACAAAATTAGGTCAGCCCGATTTTGACCGTATACACAGTTCTCTGTATTTTATGCATTTTTCTTTTGGCTTCTGTAGTGCAGCGTGTGATTTTGATTCTTTAAGCACATACTTGAAAACATTGTAATCATATTTTTTGTTTCTACTTCTACTATTATTTGACCCCACTTATGACTTATGAGATGTGTTCATGGATGTGGCACACTGATGCAGTCAATGTGTTTGACGAAATGCCTAAAACAACTGAGCAATATTTATTTGTTTTCTTATTTTCTTTTCCACTTATGTTCTTTCTTCATGTCCATGTCTTTGAAAAAGCTTTTTCCATCTCACCAAATTCTCTTTTTCAAACAAAAGTGGAGGGTAAAAGGAATATATTTGTATGAAGCTCTGGGTCTCTACTGTTGTCGACACAAATCGACGGTGGGCGTCTACTGGTTGAAGCTCGGTACTGCCACCTCTGCTCTCTCTTTTCTCTCTTTATCTTTTGTGTTGCTATATGTTACTTTGTTGTTTGAGTAATAGCAATGTGATTTTCCCAATATCAGGCTAAGCATTGCTAGGAATTTGACAAGAAGACTTCATTCGATTGAGACTCCAGCGTTCTTGCCTACTCTATGAGTGACAATTGGGCCTTTATTGCGTTGTGGTCGGCAAGATACATAACAAGGGAAAAGCAGTTGCTTGCAGTGACCCCTATTGCTCCTATTGCAGCGAAGAAATCGAAGAGGCCAAAAACTTGCTCTCAAATATGATAGACGCAGGTCCACCACCGCGCAATGCAGTCTTCAATACAATTATCAGTGCACTCTCCAATAGTGCAGGAGACATGTACAGGCGCGGATTTGGAATTTAAACTCTATGGGTTCAACATTTGTGGTTCTTAGCATTGAACACATTATATGTTCAAAGTTATGGGTTTAAATGAATATGGTATAACACAGTCGCATCCGCCCCCGGATATGAAGTAATGAAAACCACATAGTAGGTACTGAACTCTTCCTTTTTCATGATTGTTTGCTAACATTAAACAAAAAACAACAAAAAGATCAAAAGGAGAAGTCAAAGCATGTGATGTGCAAAAATCAGGATATACAAAAATTTCAGATTTCGGCATGGAAAGTAATTAATATAATCATAGTAGTAATTAACATAATGTCTCAAACCCACCAGGTCCTCCATAAAATGCCATATGCTGATACTTTCCACCTCTCCAATGTGGTACATCCATAACACCATACCGATCAGAATCATCAACACGTACAGTCGTTTTGTCTATATCTACTGTCTCACCATTATCATTTAAAACATTAAGTCTCCTACAATAAGCATCGTAATTTGGATCTCCAATAGGAAAACAGCTGGAGCCCATTGGAGGTTCAGACACGCCTGGTGGACTGTACGCTACTCCTCCCCACTCAACACTAGTAGCAAAGCTTGCCAAGTTATTGAAAATCCTTTGAGGCCAAAAACCAACTTGTTCGTTGCTTTCACCAAACAAAAGCCACCAGTTTCCATTGGCTAGATCCTTTTCAGAAAGAAATATCTAATATTACTAATTTGTACCTTTCAATTCTGATCAATGCAATTGTAAATACGAAAACCAACTCAAAACTTGAAAATAATTCCGCAAAAGAAGAAAAAACATACTCGTTCGATGAACATTGCGATCTCCAATACTTTTTTATCTCCACGTTGTGTAACTGGATCAAAGACCCCATCAACAGGGTACTTACTACTTACAATGACAAATCCAGGGCATAGCGTGTTGAAGCAATGTGTATTACCAGCCTAGTAAATGTAAAATATGCATGAACGCTTCTCAATCGAGGTATTACATAGCTATAAATATGTACTACTTTCATGATCACCAAGCAAAAATTATTAAAGGACACATTACCTGAAAATGTACAAAAAATCTAGTCTTAGTGTCCCCGTATAGTGTTGGATCCACCTGAAACATAAAATAGAGTTATCATGGTTGAATGGGAGCTCATGATAGAGGTTATAACTTACATCCTAAAGGTAGTATTTAATTTTGTCTCCTAAAAAATTAAAAGAAAACAAGCTATCACAAATAAACAAAAATAATTCAATTATAAATGAACAAGTTAGTTGAACTTACTCTCCACCCAGCTTGTAAACTGTCTGATCCTTTCTGGATTTTCAGTCGACATGTAGTGTGTTGTGGACTTTCAATACGAGGATTCCATAAACTAGCTGACATTCCAGCACCCGCAAACTTATTATTTGGATCATTTGGAATTTGAACTATTGCAAGCTGAATATAATAAATGAATTTTTTTTTGATTAACTTACAAAACTGAAAAACGAGAAGACGATAAATATTCATATTTATGTACCTTGTATCCCTGTGAGGATATGTAACTTCTTTTTGGGTCACTACTGTTGTTAGTCTGCATTGAACCAACAGAGTATATGTGACGTGCCACGATGAAGGAAGACTTAACATTTTTTTTTTACATGAACCCCTTTTTCTTGTTACAAATATATTGATGTTTAAACTATTAGATTCTAACAAATGAAATCAGTGGGTTTTTTTTTCTGGAAATGAATTATCAAGATAGGCAATGATTTGGGTCACATATCTTACATTACTCAATGGAGCTTCATATGCGATAGCTTCTGGTGGGGGAATATGTCTTTGTCGAATAAGATCATCTTTGGTAATTCTTTTAATAGGAACAGTTCCAAAAGGACAACCTCTTTCCTTTAACCATATCCCTGATGACTCATTAGCTGCTGACGTATCTGAATTTTGTAACGTCCTAGCTAAAGTAGGTTTTATCTGTCAATCAAAAACTTAAGTTATGTAATCAAAAATTAAAAATTATTATTAAATAGTTAAAAGTAAAATGAAACGAGTAGAAACATACCTTAGGATGAAAATCGTGATTCTTTAACAACGGGTGATCAAATGCAGGTTGTTTATAGAAATTCACGCAATCATATGTATCTCCATATTTTGTCTATGATCCAAAACATCGCAAAATAAGTAATCTTCAGGTACAAAAATATGGAATTGAGGAATATGTATATTTTTTTCTACAAAAATAATGTCGGCACACCAAGAAAATAATCACTCAAAAGACTTGAGAACACATTGACTTTCAGCCAACATACATACCTTAATTGTTTTGACTGCTGGCTTGTTCAAAAGTTTAAGTTGCTTCTCCAACTCTGAATACTCTAGTTTGGATAGCTTGTTTTCTCCTTGAACTCCGTTATAACTCAAAAGAAAATATAACACCAGCAGGGTTTTTTGAACAATTCTTTGACGAATCAACATATTCTGTCTGAGTCCATTAAATTACTTCTATGGGCATGAATGCTTAATATCTATAGATACAAAAACTAATATTTAAAGAACAAAATTAATTAATTGAACTTACTTGATTTACTAGATGAAGGAGAGTTGAAGTTCTTGACCACCTATCATTTTTCCTGCTAAGAGGACTGTTATATAGAGGGGTGGACGAGTTTTAAAATGGGTATTTATATGTGATATTAAATCACTAATTTATTAAAGCAGAATTAACCAAATCTAGGGAAGATTTCTGGTCAATAAATGTTGAATGTTTGAATGTTCTCTTCTTCGTATAATCCAAGATAATCTGGCCATAGATTACCAATAAATTTAATTGAATATACAGACGATTTCTGTTAATTAAGCTCTGTTCAATTCTAAGTGATATTCAAAAAGACATTCTGATTATAGATTATAAAAATTTGGGTAAATTCACTTTGCCCCTTTAACTTTGCCTAGTGAACCTCATTTCCCTCCTAAACTATTTTTTTCATCAATCATCCCTCGAGCTTTGTTCTTTCAAAGAACTTAGATTTTGTTAATCTTGCTAGTAATATAGTCAAACTGTCTTTTTGACCACCAAAGGATGTGGTGTAGTGGATGGGACTGCNCGAATAGGGCCCTACGCGGCGCGAATTCGGATATAGTTGGGCTCCAATGCGGATACCAGACACCGGGTGGGAAACAAAATCTTAGAAGCAAGATACAAACTTTATTGACATAAATCTTTATAAATTTTGGTGATCCTCCTCTAATAATTACATTAAATCTAATATCTTGTATAATAGCCATACAATACTCTTTTGCCTTGATCTGTATATAAGATTTTTCTCAAAGAAAAAGTGACAGTTGCCAACAAATTTATTCACTCACAGGCCTAGCAAATCAAGTAGGTGCTTTATTTAATGCTATTTTCTTGCTTCGTTAATTAATTTATATTAGCTTTCGTACAAGATTCTACGATTGCCTATTTAACACGTCCTTATTCTTTCTAAATAATCATTTTTTTGGTACTTTATCATAACTTTAGATTTTGGTCTATTTTATTTACATAACTTGTTACTTTAATGGCGTTTGCATTGTGCATACTGCAAGCATGCAATGACAAAGTGATTATATACATATATTCACTTGTCGCACGTTATACTAATGAATTCAGAGTATGTTGATTCATCAAAGAATTATTCGACAAATATTGCTGGTGGTATATTTTCTTATGAGTTATCACGGAGTTCAAGGAGAAATAAAGTTGTCCAAACTAGAGGAACTGGTGTTGGAGAAGCAACTTAAACTTTTGAACAAGCCCATCTGTGAAAACTATTAAGGTTTATATTTTGGTTTATTTGAAATAAATAAGTTCACGATTGGTTATCGTTTCATATTGTTCCGTCCCATAATGTATCCATATTCCATACATATAAAATTAACAATCACGTTAAAATTTGGTAAACTGAATTTACCATATTTTGTTCGTTTTTTATGTTTTAGTTGAATACTATGAAATTTCTGCATTATAGTACTTTTTACATATTCTTTAATTTTTTGTTTCATTTTATCGAGCAAAACTAAATCCTCTATTGATTTTGAAACTTGGAAGTCAGATATGGTAAATTATGAGACAGAAAAAGCAGTGTTTATCATTTACCAACCCTCATTTTTTCCATCACTTTTTTATGTTTTGAAAAGTTACTTTTGGATAGCACGATACATTGCAATCAAGAGTACTTGGTTTATGAATTTTTTTTGTTCACAGATTAAAAGCGGAGACGCATACGATTATGTGGATTTCTACGAACAATATGCATTTGATCATCCATTATTGAAGAATCACACTTTTCATCCCGAGACATGTCTTTGCCCTCTTTCTTTTTGTACATTCAACTTTATAAGGATGTCATATTGTTAATAAACAAAATGAGTTTTGAATTGACGACAGATGAAACCCATCTTATCAACGATAAAGCAAAATTCAAGTACCTCAACAGTTGATATATCGAGGATATGGTTAAACGATGAAGGTTGTGCTTAACTTGTTCCCGTTAGAATAGTTACCAAAGATGATCTTATCTGACAAAGACGTATGCCACTGGCAGAAGAAATCACATTTGGATCTCAATTGGTTGATGTAAGATAACGTTACACCAACTTACATCTTTCTTGAATACTTCATTGCTGAACAAGAGAATAGATAAGTGTAAAAGTAAAGCCCAATAGGTTGATGTAAGATAACATTGCACCAATTTATTTCATTTTACACAATATAAAAAGTTAGAGTTCATAAAATTATAAAGAAGAGAAAAGAGCTCATGTATAAAAGTTAACATCTTTAATTCTCCATTATGCAACAATTTTCATGTATTTTATTACTGTTGTGCAGACTGACAACAATACTGAGCCAAAGCATACAAATCATCGCAAGGTTACAAGGTATATGAGTATGATTTATTTATTTATTTTCATTTTTCTTGTATGTATGAATCCACCCCCCACCCCACACACACACACAATTTTTCTAGTACTCATGTTTGGCTTTCGGGGTTGAATTTGAAGTAATAACATGTGAAGAACCAGTGCTCCTAATTAAGGTTTTCTCTTCTATTTGGATTGAATTCACAAAAGCAGCAAGCTACTTATTCCTATAGTCTAATAGAATAAGGGACTTTTTGGTTGCTGAATAACAGACTGTGCTCTCTCTACTTTGGATAATCTCTGTAATGATTTCATCTTTTATATTCAGCCTGCAATAGTTCAGACTCCAAATGATCCAAATAGCAAGTATGCGGGAGCTGGAACGTCAGCTAGTCTATGGAATCCTCGTGTTGAAAGTCATCAACATAGTGAATGTCGAATGAAAATTCAAAAAAGGCCAGATATTACACAAATTGGTTGGAGTATAAGTTTAGCGACTCGTTCATTTATAACTTTACTAGTTTTTTTTGCTTGCAATAGCTCCAAACTTCTTAAGAGGAGAAAGGGATGAGGATTGAATATTTTACCTCTAGGATCTTCATCATTGATCTTCCACTCAATAGTTATGAAAGCTCTCTTTCTTATATTAGGTGGATCCAACATTATATGGAGATACTAAAACTAAACTTTTTACTCATTTCCAAGTAAGTTATCTTTGGCACTTAAATGATTTCATCTTGTGTTCATGTAACTAGTTTTGGAGGGGAGCCTTGGCGTAACTGGTAAAGTTGTTGTCATGTGACCAAGAGGTCATGGGTTCGAGCCGTGGAAACAGGCTCTTGCAGAAATGCAAGGTAAGACTACGTACAATAGACCCTAGTTGTCCGGCCCTTCCCTGGATCCCTCGGATAGTGGGAGGTTAATGTATCGAGTTGTCCTTTTCATTTCATGTAACTAGTTTCTTTCAGTCTAGCTATATACCTCAATTGATAATGGTTAAATGATTTTTTCGTTGTTGTTTATGTTTTCTAGGCCGGACGTAAACATTGCTTCAATACACTATGTCCTGGCTTTGTACAAGTAGACACTGAGATACCTCTTGATGGGGCATTCAACGATATTACACAATCAGGGGATAAGGAAACCATGGGAGGTTCCTATGTACATTGATCGGGTACAATTTATGCTTCTTTTTTGAAGTTTTTTCAATAATTAAGATTAGAATTTGAAAGGTACAAAAAATCTAACATAAATCTCCTTAAAATTAAAAGAATCTTGCCAATGGAAACTGGTGGCTTTACCTTGGAGAAAATTATACACAACTTGGCTTTCGGCGTCATAAGGATTTTCACTGCATTGGCAAACTCTGCTACCAATTTTGAGTGGGGAGGAGTTGCATATAGTCCGCCAGGTACCTGAAACTCCAATGGGCTCTAGTCATTTTCCTATTATAGACTCTAGTTATGATGCTTATTGTAGGGGACTTATAGTTTTAAATGATAAAGGTGTCACATATATTTGTTGATGATCAAAAATTGTACCAGGTAACCATATTGGGGACCTGAAAAGTTCCCGCATTATGTTTTTTACGGGGGAGCTGTTGGTATATAGGAGTGTCAAATGGGCGGGTTGGACTGATTTTTAGCAGGTCAAAATGGGCGGGTATATCTGAGTTCAAATGATGGAGTTAAAGTGAGGTGAGCCTTGACATTGTGAACTCCCGAGCTGTCTAAACAGAGCATTTGCATAACTGGCCCTTTTTAGGTCTTTGTTTAAGTTCTGTCCACGTTACTCCGTTAGTCTAATCGACTAAATTTTTTCTATGAAAAAAAAACGATTCATCCAATTACTTTTAAAACGAAAATTCAATCCACTAGACTACCGGAAATTGTTGAGGAAAAAGGACTAACGGAAACTAAAAAATTAAAGAGTGGCCTCAAAAAAGGTTATGCGGTGAAAATAATCCATACAAAAAAAAAAGGGTCTACCATACCCAAAAAAGATTTGAAAATAATAAAAGAAAAAAGCTGTGTTTTTTTAATCATAATGCGTATATGTTATCCATATTTTGCTGTGACTCATAACGTTGATCCCAAATCTTAAGTTAGCTACAAGTAATTTTCCATTTGGAGTTTTCATTTTCCTTTTTTAGCTTAATTATAAAGGAAACGAATCGATTTTTTCAGTTTGGAAATTTAGAAACTTATTTTGTAGAAGGATTTCTGTTACTGGAATAGTGGATCTAAGTATAATTTATTCCTCAATTCTTTCTCCATTAAATGTATTCCACTACCACTATAAATCAAAATATTATATTTAAAGTTGACATTTATATGAAGTCATTAATACAGGAAAGAGGACATTGACAATAAAAGGAAATAAAGAATCAGCAAAGAAAACAAATTAGGAAATACTAGAATGTACATTAAGAGGAAGATCTGAATATATATAGTCTAAGTAAGAAAATAACGTTTTAAAAAAAATATATATCCCTTCTTTCCTTCTTCTCTCCTGTCATGTCATATCCCTTACTTAATTTTAATTTGACCAAAATCCAATTATTAAATGTTAATGTAAACAGATTCCACTAAACAAGCTCCTTTCTTTTTATGGTCCAAACATAACATTTGGAAAATCTCATCATTTCTCTATAAACTCATAGAAGAATTCATCACCAAGCTTCGTGCAAGATTTGAAGGTGACTATCTGACACTTCTTTTTTGTTCTTTTTAAATAACCATTTTTCTGGATATTTTCTTCTAACTTTAGAATTTTAGTAGAGTTCATGCGTTTACAGTGTAGTGATAGTATATTATCCTCATTTACTAAAAATGAAAAATATCTGCAAGCATGCGATGAAACGTGATTATATCTTTGTTTTAATTTTGGTTAAAATTAGTTTGCCGTATATACATGTATTCAGCAGTCGCCAATAAAAATAATTTTAATGAATTCAGAGTATGTTGATTCCTCAAAGAAATGTTCTACAAATTTTGCTGCTACTATATTTTCTTCTGAGTTATGATGGAGTTCAAGGAGAAATGAAGTTGTCCAAACTAGAGGAACTAGCTTTGGAGAAGCAACTTAAACTTTTGAACAAACCAGCGGTCAAAACAATTAAGGTATGTATTTTGGGATATTCGTATTAATAATTCTTCATTGTATCATTGTTTTTATGCTAATAACACTTTTGTGATTTAAAAAAATCCATGATGATGTTTAACAATAAAGTTAAATTCTGGTATTTTTTCGCATTTTATGTAGTTGAAAATCGTGAAATTTCTAATTATAATTTTTGACATGTTCACTAATTTGTCGTTACATTTTATCTAGAAAAATTAAGGCACAATAACTCCTTTATGATAAAGTACTAGATAGATGAAGCAGCAACAACAACATACTCGGTATACTTCAACTAGACAGATGAAGCATTGTTTATTATTTACCAACCATTTTATTCTACGACATTTTTATGTGTACTCAAGTTACATTTTGATAGCACGATGTTAAATAGTGTAACCGAGATTAAAGCTTGAGAATATTTTGCTCCAGACTAAATGGGAGGATACATACGATTGTGTGGATTTTTACAAACAACTCGCATTTGATCATCCAGCGTTGAAGAATCACAATTATCATCCCGAGGCATGTATTTACACTTTATTTTTGTGTATTTAACTTTATATGGATGTAATGTTGTTAATAGAGTTTTGAATTGACAGATGAAACCCACTTTATCAACGATAAAGCAAATTCCAAGTGCCCCAACTGTTGATATATCTTCAAGGATATTGTTAGAGAATGGAGGTTGTCCTTCTGGAACCGTTCCCATCAAAAGAGTTACAAAAGATGATCTTATTAGACAACAACATTTGCCACAACCAGAAGATGTAAGATAATGTATTACACCAATTTACTACTTTCTTGATTACTACTTTATTTTTGGAGTCTGGACAAAAGTAATAGATAATGTATAAAAGCAAAGCCCAATTAGGTTGATATAAGATAATGTTACACTAATTTATACACAATATCTTAGGTTAACATTTCCTAAAATTATAAAAAGGGAAAAATATTTCATGTATAAATCTGACAATTTTTTTACTGTTTTGTGCAGACAAATTTTGAGACAACAGGAGGATACAGGGTACATGGATATAAAATTGAATTGGATTTTTTTTCTTTATTTTTTGTGTTATGGATTTATCATTTGACCACTTTTTCTCAAGCTACACTTAGATCTCAAGTTAACTTATGTAATGAGTAAAGGAAATTTTTTATCTTGTATATTCAGCGTGCAATTGTTCATACTCCAAGTGATACAAATAACAAGTTTGTGGGAGCTGCAATGGTAGCTAGTATATGGAATCCTTATGTTGAAGGTCAACAAAGTAGTGCGTGTCGATTGAAGATTCAAAAAGGACCAGATAGTATGCAAGTTGGTTGGCGAGTAAGTTTAAACCCTTATATATTAAAAATTTAACAATTTTCTTACTTGCAATAGTTTCAAATATTTAGAGGACAGATATAGAAGAGGGAAATGGAACGGGAGGATGGGAGGGGGATTGAATTTTATACCTCTGGGATCTCCACCAATGAACTATCACTCAATAGTTATAACAACTCTATTTCTTGTTTTAGGTGGATCCAACATTATATGGGAATAATCATACTAAGTTTTTTATACATTTCCAAGTAAGTTTTCTTGAGTACTTCATTGATTGATTTCTACCCTTGTGTTAATGAAACTAGTATCTTCAACTTAGTTGCTCACCTCAACAGATAATGGTTCATGAATTTTTAAATATTTCTTAGGCTGGAAATACACATTGCTTCAACACACTATGTCCTGGTTTTGTATTAATAAACAGTAACATACATCTTGATTCTGAATTCGAACATATTTCCCGTCGAGGGGACGAGCAACAGTGGGAGCTTTTTATGTACATCAATCGGGTAAGATTATGTATCTTTTTGTCTAAAGTTTTTCAGTAATTGCTTAAATTAGATTTATGTATCTTTTTGTCTAAAGTTTTTCAGTAATTGCTTAAATTAGATTTTTGAATCATTTTTAAAATACTAACATACATTTTTTTCTGAAACCTAAAGGATGTTGTAAATGGAAATTGGTGGCTTTTGGTTGGAGCAAATCAGACAGCAGTTGGTTTTTGGCCTCGAGGGATTTTCACCGCATTAGGAAACGACTTTGCCTCGAATATTGAGTGGGGAGGAGTGACATATACTCCACGAGGTTCACCTTATCCTCCAATGGGCTCTAGCTTTTTTCCTGAACATCCAGATCCTACACTTGATGCTTATTGTAGGGGACTTGTAGTTTTAGATAATAAAGGAGAGACAATAAATGCAAATAACACACCTATATTTCTTGATAGTCCAATATTGTACCGGATCATTGATAAACCAAATTGGGGACCTGGACAGTTTCCGCATTATGTATTTTATGGTGGTCCTGAAACAAAGTACCCCCCTTTGTAGGAATCACTCAAGATTGAAACCAAGATATTTCACTGACTTTGTTTAAGTAACCCGCAGCAATGATTCAGTTAGAAATCATTTGGTTGAACAAGAAAAAGTTGCTACATGTAAAGTTGATGTCTATTTAAGACAGAATACATACCAGTTTCTATAGTTTCCACAGGAAACAGATTGAATTTTGTGTCTCAAATCTCAATAACCAAATGTGCCTTCTTACAGATTTTCTCCAAATCCAGTCTCTTTCTCAAAGTAACTTCTTTCGTTTTTGTTTATTCCAGTTCCTACAGCCTTGGTAGCTTTGTCTCTTGCAAGAAAAAGTATACAATAATTTCACTTTTGCTATAGTTATCATGCATTCAACCAACTGTACTCACCAAATTTGGTGGTAGTCCTAGTGAACAATCGTGGCAACACTAATTTCTTTAAGAAAAAAAAGGAGTGATTGTGGATATTTGAGTCTAAAAGAATCTTTAGAACTGATCGGTAATATTATTGGCGTATTTAAAAAATGCATGCATTAAGTGAGTGTAGAGAAATATAAAAGTTCTAAATGGACGAACAATAATAAAGGGATCAAGTTGTTCAATCTTACTCTATTTGGCCTTAGAATGAAGTAAATGGACCATAATAGTTCGTTACTTCCCAGAATGATAAGCAAACTAAATTTACAAAAAATTTAAAGTAGAAGAATGGCACTGTTTGAGCTTTACCTGCTGTAATGTTGACTGCGGAATAGGTTATGCAGTGTTCTAGGTACCGGAAAGTAAACGCTGAGATACCTCTTGATTTGCATTCAGCCATTTTCCTATTTTAGACTCTATTTATGATGCTTATTGTAGGGGAGATATAGTTTTAAATGATAAAGGTGAGATGATAGATGCAAAGAAAAAACATATATTTGTTGATGATCCAAAATTATACCGGGTAATTGATGAACCATATTGGGGACCTGAAAAGTTTCTGCATTATATTTTTTTACGAGGGAGCTGGCGGTATATATTATGTACTAGTAGGTAAATAAGACATATCTTTTTCCTTAGTTCTTTCTATCATTTTCAATTATATTGCAATTGAAAAAATCACCTTCTTCCAACCTCTTAATGAAGTATTTGGAAAGCAACGCAAAGTAATGGAGTATAAAAAGAAGAAAGACAAATAAATGACAAAAGAATCCCAGAAGTACTAACCTATGTTTCTTGGCAAGCATCATAACTAGAGTCTGTTGCTATCCAGCTTACGCGTAGCTTTTGGATTTTCAGAGTGAACATTCCTCAAACACTTGGTAAGCATCTATAATGTTCTTGTTATCCAGTAGAACTTTAACTTCTTTTGATCAAATAGTGAAAGATCGAGGCTGTTGAGCTCAAAAAAATTACTCTTTGAGGAACCATAAATGAAGGTTGTCTATATGTAAACAGTGATTCAGTCCCTCCACAATTAAAAACCACCATTGTGAGTTTGTGACCACTTTCCTATTTTCCAACAAGAAATGTGCAAAATAGAGCATATATAATTATGGAGTAGGTCTCCAGATTCGTCGAGGGTGAGTAGGAAGATGGTATATGCGGAGTTCAAATGATAAATTTAAGAGACAAATTGAAGGAATTTAAATTGAGATGATAGTGTATTTCCAACCATAGGGAGCCTTGCGGCAAAGATGTTTAAGTAGTTTAATAGGCCTACACCAGATTTTTAGACTATTCAAGCCCCGAATGATTATTCCCAACTACTGAGCAGAAAAGCCAATTCTTGTGAGCTTCAAGTTCCGCAGCAACACAAGTTTCACGTTGTCAGTCTAAGGGAGTAAACATCCTTTTACAAGATACTCAAATAACAAATATAGATCAAAATACCCATCCTCCCTAAATTTTATTGAAATGCTACAAGAACAAACAAAAAAAGATAATCCCTCCGTTTCAATTTAGATCTGAGTTATTTTGACTTGGCACGTAGTTTAAGAAAAAAAGAACAATACTTTTAAAACTTGTGGTCTTAAAAGCTTAACTGGTGAAAGTTTTGCGGGGTCATGACATTTTGAAGGAACACGTTAATCTAAACACATTAGATAACGCGTAAATCGTAAAACGAGAACTTACTTGTTCTTCGTGTAGCGGAAGCGAAAACGGATGAACCGTGGCTAGAATTACTGGTTGGCGGTGGTTGTCACGGTGTGTTGGAGAAACCTCTATTCCACAGTCTAACCCTTATCCGAAATTGAGAGAGAAGAGCATAGAAATATACTTCAGAGAGTGTCTTTAATGTACACATTAAGTGTACTTATATAGGGAATATTAGGGTTAAGTAATAACCCTATTGGGCCTTAAAGCGCCCATTATGGGCGGACCCAATTTTCCTACATCTCCCACTCACACATAATGGGAGTGCTCATCTAATATGACAAACATATTCTCATCTCCTCAATCATTCATACAGGGAAGTAGACCGTGCGACCAGCATACTGTGAGAGCTAAGTGTTATATATGTGTTAGGAGTATATAACCTCTCGTCGAGTGCAAACTTGCAAGTAGATCATAAAGTATGCAGTACCCTAGATCATGTAAATCACATTTGATATAGTCTCAAAATCTCATACATCATTATTTCTTGTATTCACAATCATAACTCATAAGTCATAATTGGTGCACCAGTGAATACAAATAAATGAGATTCCATCAATGATCTTCCTCTTCTCACGATTCCCTTAACATTAGTATGACTGCTTTTCTAATTATGTTCCGCTATACCGTATCTGTGTTCATGGTCTTTTGGAAACACACTAAGATAGCTAACATCACACTAAGTCTCAAGTATCTAATCAGAGTCTCTAAGGGTACAAAATCTTGAGCTATTATAAAAGATGTGGGTCTCACACAACAATAAGTTGAGAATGGACTTATGTTAACCCAATTGGTCGACATTAGCACACATGGTATGAAACATGTGCTACAGCATTTTCTCCTTTTTCCCAAGGAGCGTATGTCTTTATCTCATAAAGAATGTTGTACAAATGATATTTAGACACCATAAGTATCTAAATTTGAGTTCTTTGATCTACAATATCATTTTTAACTCGCATCTGGCTCACAAAGTAGACTAGGTGAACGTTTTTCACCCTAATGACCTTATGTCATTGTTTAAGCGACATTCTGATTTTAAGTGAATAGCTCTCAAATTATCCTTATGATAATTTTGCTTAAAATCATGTCTCATCTCCTCACATCACTAAGATAGGAGGCGGTTTCCTGTGTGAGAAGGCCAACCCCATGTCTACTCAACATACTTATAAAAAATGAACAAAGAATGTACATAACATTCAACAATAAAAATATGTATGTATGTAAATCAACTTTATTGATAATCAAAGAACATCAGTTGGAGAACACGGGAAAATAAAGAACAAAATAAAGTATCTCAGAGTCTACGCAAGCCTTGAGACCTAGTGTATCTCACAAATGCATCTCTAGACAAAGGCTTGGTCAATGGATCTGCTAACATATCTTTTGTAGACACATACTTCACATTCACTATCTTGCGTCTAACCATGTCTCTCGCATAGTTATACTTGATATCTATATGTTTGGTTTTACAATGAAACTTTGGATCCTTGGTGGAGGATATTGCAGCCTCACTGTCACAGTGCACTTCATTATTCAAGTTGCTGGACATGCCAATGTAATAATTCTGAAGTATCTTGTCGATGCTTCTTTGTTTGCAGCAAAGACAACTTCTGGAGGTCTTCAGCTATCCTCGCCACAGAACTCTCAGATACCTATTTTACAAGAGTGCATTGATGCCATCACTGAACACCAAAGGCTTCTGTCCTTAATGAAAGGAGAATGGGCCAAGGGATTGCTGCCACAAAGCGGTGTCCGTGCAGAATATACAGTACAGAGGATCCGAGGTAGTTTGACTCTCGGCTTTGCCTTGCATGTCAGTCACTCTTGGATCTCCGATCCATTACATTTTTGGAGAAGAAATAAGAGATAAAGTATGCTGATTTCTATTATTGTTGCATGACTGATCTGACTCCCAATTTCTTTGCAGAGCTTGCTGAAGGAACCTGTTTGAGGAACTATGATTATTTGGGCAGTATAGAGGGGTATGGAAAAGGAAACAAGAAATGGAGTTCCGAGCTTCCAACAGATTCTCATTTGCTCCTATATTTATTTTGTGCTTTTCTGGAGCACCCAATCCCAAAGTGGATGCTACATGTTGATCCTACAGCTTATGTTGGAGCCCAGTATAGCAAAAACCCCTTATTTTGGGTGTTTTACCTCCTAAAGGAAGGTTCCCTGAAAAGTATGTAGCTGTTTTGTCAGGTGTACCCTCTGTGCTCCATCCAGGAGCTTGCATATTGGCTGTGGGAAAGCAAAGTCCCCCAGTTTTTGCCCTATTCTGGGATAAGAAGCCTCAGTTCTCTCTCCATTATTGCAAAGATGCTTATTGACTGCGTTATGCTTGTTTTATATCGCCTAGTTGCCTCCGCCAACAATTAACATCTTTTGGGCTTCTGACATATCACAAGACCCAAAAGATGAAAATTTTGAAATATGACCTCATTCAGAATGCTGCTGATGAGTTTACTTGCTAAACAACACCAAGAGTAATAGCTGCTGTTGCCACCAGTAGTACTCTGATTAGAAGTGTTGTTGTTAGCTCGATAATAATGATAATAGAAAATGATATGATACCACCTCTCCGAAAAGGTTGATGGATAATACAACAGACAATTGAAAAATTATTGAAAATTTGCGTGCCCTTTAATATGGTAACAGTGTACTATTCAAGTTCATCGAGTCATCCTCTAAGTGCTAGTTCAGTAATTTTGTCTAACTTTTGTACCTTACACTTGTTCTCTCATTGCAGGGAAGAACAGCACTTTGGGATTCTATCTTGCTGCTGTGCTATAAGATAAAGATTGGGTATGGAGGTTTTGTGCAGGGTATGCATCTTTCTTCGTCAGCATTGGGCATTCTCCCAGTTCTTGATCCAGAAAAGGATGACTGCTGAACTTGAATTCACCCCACCTATGCCATAAATTATTTGCAAACTCTCATGGACACTCGGTGTGAAGAACAGCTGCATAAGAATCTTGCTGTAGGTGGATCAGGTTTATCTTGAGATATAGGGTCACTGTAAGCAATTATAGTTGTGTAATTTAGGCTCGCCAAAGAATCAGAGATTTTTGGTAGACCTGAGGTTCTCATCCTCTATTTTCACTGCAGGATTTTATGCACTTCAGCAGTTAGAGAATAACTCCATCAGCTCCCACTAGTAATACTATTATTGGATAAAAAGCTTGATAGTATATGTATTTATGGCTTGATCTGTAATAGCATAGATTTCTTGTATGTCGCCCAAGTCAAATAGGACCGTTGCCGCTTATGGACGTCCAAGGTTTGCCAACCGTCGACAGGGATCTATCTCCTCCTCTGGAGGTTCAGTTAGGGAAACCCTTATTGTATCACCCAGACCATCCTGCATCAATAGAAAGTTTTCTTCTTTAGAAAGTCTAGCAATACATTTATGATGATAAAGCCACACAAATGAGGAACATGTATGAGAATAGACTACCTTATCATAGGAATTTGCTCGCATAAACACAATATAGTTTTTAAAATTCCAAATGTGATAAATCACAGGTATTTTCTGTCACTTGAGAACCCGCTCTGATTGAGCAGATTATAGCTTTTAGCTTAATTACGTCTTCTGATTATCATAATTTAATAAATATATTCTTGCTTTGTTTCATTTTCCGACAGTAAATACTAAATACTCTATTGCTTGAATGAATGAATATGTATCAGCGAGTACAACATATCTGGTATATCTAGAGAACTCGTATAAATGAAGCTGGACGCAAAAGGAATAAAGATGTTACTTTCAACAAGATGCACAGCTTTTACTGTTGTTCATCCGGAAGTCTAAAAGTGTACCTGAAGAAGCGTGCCAATACCGATTGCAGACTTCATCCTTCCGTCCTCACCTTCACCAGCTTCAGTAACTCCCAAGTGTAAAGGATAATCCCATCCTTGAACATACATCTCAGCTACAAGAAGGCGATACGCCTGGACCATAACTACTGGATTGCTAGCTTTCATTGAGAAGACGAAATTGTGGAAGTCCAACTTTCGACAAATTCTTGTAAACTCAAATGCTGATTCAACCTGTTACCACATTTAGATGATACAAAGTAATTAAAGAATACAACAACAACGACTAGAATAGAGTATTCTAGATAAGTAATTCAGTTACTGCTCACCATTCCCCTAGGTGAGTCCCCATAATAGCTCATAATTCGATCTGAAAGGCTCCCGTGGTTAGTTCCAATACGTATTGCACGTCCGTACTTTTTTCATTTTTCCGCCAATGGTGTAAAAACCTAAACCATTTCAAATCAAAAATGGATTGAACTCTGCAAAGAGGTAGATTGTCCAAGAATATGCTCCGTAATAAAAGGGAAAATTTCTTGCTAAATGCGAATAATGAGCAGGCACAGTTTCCAATATAGGATGACTATAGACCCAGCATCAGCTTGAGAAGCAATTCTTGTTTAACATTGTCCGTCTTAGCATAACAACAATAACAACAACATACCCAGTATTATCTCACACCCGTCTTAGCATATTGCACGCATTTTTATTTTTTGACAAGCAGTGAATGAAAAGGATCTTATAATTAAATCAATATGATCCATACCTTATAGGACAAAAGAAAGGTGAAAATCAACTGAAAATAACTACTCCCTCCGTTTCATTTTATGTGTCTTAGTTTGACTAGGCACGGAGTATAAGAAAAGTACGGAAGACTTTTGAATCATGTGGTCTTAAATTAAAGATGTGTGTAATGTACCCAGGTGCCCTTGAATCTTGTGGTCTTAAATATGCCATGTGGAATGTTGGAGTTAAACAATTACTAAATATAGAAAGAGGCATTCTTTTTGAAATAGACTAAAAAGAGCAGAGGAAGTACTGAATAAATTAAAGACATGCTAACTTGCAGGACGAGCACCTCATACCATGTTACTGACTTCTAAATTCCATCGATAGAAAGGTTAATAATTATCTTTACATGTATTAGAAATCAAAAACTATAGTTCTTATACTAGTGTGGCATATTCTAACCTCCTCAATGTGCTCAAGTTCTTTCTGGTAGTCTTCTTCTGTGTACTCTAATTGCTCAAACTGGGCTCGCCTGTCAGCTGAAAGAAATTAAGCGATTAGATCATAGCTGTTCTCCTGGCTCTGCCAAAAAAGATCATCACGTTGACAGAGAAGAAATACTAAAGTTTCCAGGATTGACACGTATTTTTTCAAAGCACTCAGCAACTCGAAGTGCAATAGGAGGAGCAAAATGAATGTCAGCCACCAGAGGGATGTTGTAACTGCATATATGCAGAACACAGACGATAAGATAATACTCATGTCATTGAGTCCAGTGTCCGGTACCCACATTGGAGCTCGATTATATCCGGATTTTTGCCGCTTAAGGCCCCATTCAGGGGGAGCATTCCCTATTAAGTATTTCTCCATATCCAGAGCTCGAACCCGAGACCTCTGGTTGAGAGAAGAGCAGTCTCGTCCATTGCACATCCTTGGGTGGTTCAACAATTTTTTCTGATTTGTGTCTATCTTTTCTTTCTCTTTTTCTTTCTTTTTATTCTTTCTCTCCATTACACCAAATTCAGCAACTCATACTACGAGATGTGACACTATACTTGTTGATATATGAAAAGGAAAGATAATATACATTGAGGTGCATCTAAAACGTTTGCCATTATTTGTAGACACTATGAATCTCAAAAGTCAAGAAGTTCCAAATATGATGTTTTCGTGGATTAGATGATTCATTACATTAAGCTACCAAATAGAAAACAATACACACACTTTAGATCCTATTTAGTAACTGATTACAACTTCCATAACAAAGATAAAATCAAATAAATATACACGCGAACAAATGCGTGCTTCTCAGTGTATCTCAAATGATTTGCACTTCAAATAGAAGCAAGAAAGTTTTCTAAAGACAGCAACGGGAGCACAATCGCGTCATGTTTTTAGGAGGCATGCTTAAAACTCAGGCACAAGTCCTATCCTGGTGAACAGCTTCAACTTGACAATAGCTTCCTAATCTCCAGTTCCATCTTCCAGTAAGGAATGTCTTTCAAGGATAGCAACAGTCTCTTCCTTGGCACTGTCATAAGATTAGTAATTCATCAAATTACGCACAACAGTTTTATGACTTTCTCATCCCAATGGTCAAATACCAAGAAAAGTTTCAACAATACAGTCGTAGTTGTACACAACAACAACAACAACCCAGTGTAATCGCACAAGTGGGGTCTGGGGAGGATAGAATGTACGCTGTCTTACCCCTACCCTGGAAGGGTAGAGAGATCAGTCGTAGTTGTACACACAGAATATATACATGATCAAGTCATGGACATTATTTAAACCATTACCCCAGATAGAAATCTAGAAGGCAAAAAAAAAAAAAATCCAATAGCTAATATTCCATGTGAAGACTCTGTGCTAAAAAAGGATAAAATATTATTTTGTCCCTCAAACAAGAAATGATTTGCAAATAGAATAAAAAGGGGCGAAGTCATAGCTACAATCAACAAAACAAGAACTAGAAAGCATTAAAAAAGGGAGGCATGAGAAATATTGTATTTCTTAATCTTATTGTATTTATTTGGGAAAGGGAATTGACTATGACTAATTTAGCAAACAATATGAAAATTATCATGCACCTTCTTACTCATCAAGTATTTTCCGGTAAATTTCATTAATTTAAAAGTCAACTCCTTTGAAGCCTTCTCAGAAGGTTATGATCAGTTCAACTCGACAATATTTCCCATCCTAGATAATGGAAGCTTACCTCCCAGGTCTTAGAATCTTGTACTTTCCCAACTTGGTAAGATCCACCACTTTTGATCTTGCTCGCCCAGCCGGAAGAATTCCGCCATCATAGACATATGCACAATTCTCCCAAAGGTTCTCAAAATCTTTGATGTTTATGCTACTGGGTTGTCCACTGAGGTTAGCGCTAGTAAGTGCAAGGGCACTTCTAGAACCACGGGCGATTACCCTGATGAAGTTATAGTCAGGCACTCGGATGCCTATGCTCTCTAATCCAGGGTTTAATGACTTCTCAAGGATACTTGACTCACCTGCAATATATCTAAATTCAGCCTCTAGTACAGAAGATTTATAAGAGAAAGATAAAAGCTTCTAAAACTACTGAACA